CTCAAAACAGAAGGGGAAAACACTAAGTTTCTTTGTCTAGTGTTCTACTACGCGAAATGAGCTGTTATTATTATTATGGTCTTCCATTTCTTTTTTTTATTCCTTGGCTCTCCTTCCGAGTTGAATACCGTAGTGTAGTGTATCTTTCTGGTATAGAAGACTGGTTTAAATCCAATCCTGATTTTCAAGATACATTTACGGGATATCATCCCGATTATTTTAGTGTTGATACACATAGGATTGCCTAATTTTAGAAGAAGCCTAGCCCTGACTTCGGCTTCTTCAGGAAAATTAAAAAATTAAAAAAATTAAAAAGTTGCCACGGTTCGCGTGAGACTCCGCCAAAGGCCGAGTTTTCCGCATCCGCAGGAACATGTCCACCCTCTTGGATCAAGGCGCAGATGCAGCTCCCAGGCGGTGGTAGGCGAGTAGATCAGACCCATCACAAAGTGGTCAAACACCGAAATCCCATTCACTGCGTCCATGTTTCCATCGTGCCGAGCCACAGGAATATGCCCGGTTAAAAACATATATTGAGCGAAGTTTACTAAACCCTGCACATTATAGCAATTATGCAATCACACAAATTCTGGTGGTGTGCGTTGCGCATGGACCGCAATGAGATCGAGAAAAACAATGAAAATGTTGTACAAGAATATCTGATTGCTCTTATTATTATTATTATTAGTTATTACTCAATCTGCGGACAGCATGCTGTTTCGTTCTTTTTGAACTCATCAGCGCAGCACAGAGGAAATGAGGCCGAACCTGATAGCAATGGAAATAAAAATTTCCAATCAGGCCCGAACGTACCTTGCCAGAGTGCTCAAACTGACAAGTCAGTGAGCTCTGCATAACGCAAACAGCAAAGGCACTACCCCACGCAAGAGTGCTCAACTGCTACAAGAGCAGGAGCGAAATACTCAATCTGCGGACAGCATGCTGTTTCGTTCTTTTTGATTATTAGTTATTATTATTATGGCAAATAACGCCGAGTAATTACACGAATGCATAAAAACCAGCATTAGCTTCCGGGAAGAATTCACAAACATAAGGCAAAAACACCATGGCTCAATGTAACTGCACATACGGAAAGCAGATTCTATTGTCAATTTCGAGTGGCAATGTCAGAAAGACGGTAGACTGTTCGTGCACGTTGTTCACGATGCAGGGGTTAAGTCTAGGACGCTGCTCGGCAGAGGAAGATGAGTGCCGCGGGGTGCCATTCCACCGTGACTTATGGCCTGCCAACTGCCGCAGCTAATTAAGGCCTCTGTGCTCATACGTGTACATGTAAAAGAGAAAAGAAGAATGAGGCCCCAAAAGAAGGTGTTTGTAAAATTCTCTAGTAGAATATACCACCGCTTCTAAGGTGTGTTCAAGCCAATCTGGTAACGTTATGCTAACGCTTTGTTGTTCCGTATGTATTAGGGATTTCATATCATAGGAACATCAGCTCGGTGTTACAAATTTTGAATCACACCAGGAGCACCTCATACTCTCCAAGCAAAACAATGGACAACGGGAACTGGTAGGGTGGGAACGACATTTACATTTATATATTTATATTTATTACAACATCTCAAGACTCGGTGGAAACACCGGCAAATGTTAAGAGAGTGGGTGATTGCCAACCACGGCGATTAATAAAAATTAGGGGAGGAAAAAGAAAGAGAATGAAGTTGAAGAACCCACTGCAGCTGTACTTATGGTTGAATAATATGGTGGTAAAGACACACCTGGCAATATTGCGGTAAACACACGCCTGCCCACGCACGCTCTCTAGGCTGCAAAGTTCTGGCACAGAGCTCTCCTTCTCACCACCACCACCATCAATTCGCGCCTGGCGCCTGGTCGATGCATGGCTGGCGGTATCCGGCATAGCAGGCTGGTACATCAAGTAGCGCATGGCACATAGATGATGACACAGCAACGACATAGCTCAATTGCGACGTACGTTTCGTTTCGTCCCCGCTGGACTCATCAGGCAATCTTCTTCTTGGATGGCTTGACTCGGGAGAATGAAGTTGAAGACACCACTGCAGCTGTACTTATGGTTGATTAATATGGTGGTAAAGACACACCTGGCAATATGGCGTTAAACACACGCCTGCCCACACACGCTCTCTAGGCTGCAAAGTTCTGGCACAGAGCTCTCCTTCTCACCACCACCCCCATCATTTCGCGCCTGGCGCCTGGTCGATGCATGTGGTGTCTTCAACTTCAATTCCTTTGCAAGCAGCGTTTGCTCAAACTCTTCCACGGCTGAAACGCGTGCATAGCAGATACCAAAGTATTGGGTTTCGGCAATTGTGCATGCGTATACATCAACGCCCCTATCAGCGCACCAGTTGACAATGGACTGTGCCTTACTTCCAGGACTAACATTCCCGACAAAGAAGGCACATCGCTTGGGAAGATGTGTGCCAGTGAGTGTGTTGGGGTTGGAGTTTTCTGTGGCCATTTTTCCGTAGACAAACACAACTTTGGATTTTGTTGCCCGGGCAATGGGATCGCTGTGGGCCGCTGATTTATTGCCACTTCGCCGCTGTTCAGTCCGCTTATGCTCTTCCCTGCATCTATTCCGTAATTCAGTACTTTCATTTCTAGGGTACCCTGTAAGAAGGCCTAGGCCTGTGGGGATTGCCCTATCAAAATTTAATAATAATAATAATACGAAGTAGTGGTTGCGACTTCGGCGATGATTTGTGAGAAAGGTTTGCTCCCCACGCCGGAGCTCGCGCAAGTGTCAAGTAAAGTCGGCGGAATAGCGCGAGCTCCGGTGTGGGGAGCAAACCTTTCTTAATAATACTAATAATAGTAATAATAGCTATAAAGAGAACAAATTCTGCTGTCATCGCAACACTACAACAGAGTCATGAAGGTTTACCAAAATCGATTTTCTTGTCACAATCATCAGTGGAAAGCCGTGACTGAAGAATAACCATGCCAAATCAATAATTTATATACATTCAATAATGTGTTACGAGAACAAAACAAAGTGCTAAAAATAGAATGAGGGAAGGTGAGACAATCTCCCCCGCCAAGGCCTGGATAGTGTTAGCAAGGCTATCTAGCTTAGAATCATTAATCCACGACGTACCGCTGTCAGTGATGGGCTTCACGCCAACTCCGTGCTTCCGCAGTGCCTGCACCAGCTCTGGCCAGGCGAGGCTCGAAGGGGAGTCCAGGGACTTGCGTTCAGCGATGGCGATTAGTTCCTAGTACCCCATTGGGGAAAGATCGAGGTTCTGGTCCAGGGACATTCTTAGTTTCAACAAGGACAAAGGTAGAAGGGTAAACTGCTGTGGGGGGGGGGGGGGGGCTCCCGAAAAGCTGTTCCGAGGAGCACCAAAAACGTCAACCACCCCTGAGATTCAAAACTTTTTATTTTATTTTTTATTAGGGTAGATGATGAGACTCAGACAAAGACGAATGGAGCGATTACCAGCCCGCCCGCCCGCCCGCCCGCCCGCACAAGTAGCTTCCCAGGCCAACGGAACAAAAGGCGACAAAAGATGAGTACGATGTAACAAATTAGTATGGTGTACATGCAGGCCAGCTTGTAGGTTGTAGAACGAATGGGAGGAGGTACCTAACACAACATATTCCACACACGGAGTTACCACGATACAGCTTGGACAACAGGATGATCATTGGAACTCCTGAACAGCACTGCCACATAATGTTTACATGTGCGTTGGCACCTAGTGTATTCATGACTGGCGCTGGAAGTACTCATGATCCACCGATTCAATGAATAAAACATTTGAAAAATTATGTTGGACTTCTATAAGATGATGAACGCACGTTAAAAACTGTTCACCTGTTTTCTCCAGAACATTGCACTTTTCTACATTACTTCATCATTTAGTATCACCTGATTAATTGTGACAAACTTGTAACCGTGCGGGCTAAGTCGCACGTGTACACGTAATTGGATTCTGCCAAGCGATGGATGCTGCTCGGACAGAGGCGTTATGATGAGGTCTGAGACGATCACCGTCAAGTCTCCAGCCGGGAGGTTCGTAGAAGTGGCTTGTCCGAATAATGTGAACGTATATATCTGTCGCAATTCTACTAATCCCTGTATGACGCCCGCTGCTGAATGTATATTCGTATTGGTTCCAGCGTGACTGTAGAGCACACTCATCGTAGCGTTCTTGTTAAAGAAAGGCGATCCCCACAACAACGGGTAAGGACCCTGTCCGGGAACAGGTTGAAACGCCGTATCGTTTATATCAGCCAGATCTGCCAGCTGCGACAGTACTCCAAGGAACATACCCAGGAGTCTCTCGCTTTCGGAAGTGCTAAGTGTTACTGGATGTTCGTTCATTTTGATCAGGGCAACTCCAGTCCTCGTCAGGAAAAGAAATTGAAGTCGGTCCAGCACAAGACGTTAGAGAACGACGACAGATACAACATTTTACTATATCAGTTTTTCTGTACGGGAGAGCGAGTGACGCCGCTCGGTCATGGCCGTCAGCTTCGGTTAGCCCATGGGTAATGTCTCTTCGCCAGGAAACAGGCAAGCTTGTGGAAGTATTTTGAGTAGTGGAGCAAAAGGCGAGGGCTTGTTTCGCATTGGTACGTTCAACGTCCGTGGACTTACTTCAAATTTCAAAAAAAATCAACTTATTTCAGACCTCAATAAATACAGAGTTGGACTCTGCTGTCTTCAGGAGACTAAAATCTCCGAAGGGTACGATGGAAATATTGACAACTACCGTCTACTGTGTCTCTCGTCGTCGTGTCGACATTATGGACTCGGATTCGTGGTGGAAAAGCAGTTACTGCACCGAATATATAGATATTGGCAGGTGTCGGACCGTATCGCCGTGCTACAGTTATGGCTCTCCGGGAGAACGCTGTGCTCATTTGTAAATGTCTACGCCCCGACGTCAACACGCGTTGCAGCAGACCATTCATGCCTAGACGAGTTCTACAACAGCTTGCTGGAAACAATTCAAAAACTAAGGTCTTCATCGCTGCTGTTCCTGATGGGAGACTTCAACGCAAAACTTGGGAAACGACCACCCAGTGACTGCCACTCCGTATCCTATGCTGGTTCACACTCAAGGGGCCATCGCAACTACAGCGGCCAGACTTTGGCTGATTTCGCGTCCAGCAATTACCTATTTGCCTGTAACACGGCGTTTCAGCACCGTGCAGAACATATCACCACATGGACAGGCTGGCGCCACAACCCTAGTGGAGGTCCACCTTTACCCATTTACAACCAAATAGATTATATCCTTTGCCGTCACAGTGAAAGGTTTGTGGTGACGGATGCCAGATCATACGCCGGGACAAGCTTAGAAAGCGATCACCGTCTTGTGCTGGCAAACCTCAACCTGACTAAGTTGTACAAAAAGCTCAAGAGGCCGCCAGTAGCCATATCCAGCAACGCAAAATTCAATATATCGGAATTTAGTGACCCGACCAAGAAAGCAAAGTACAGAGAGGCTATCAACGAACATCTACAGGACCTCGGCAGAGAGCAGGAAGGTGTCAATGCGGAGCAACATCTGCAGTATATTGTGAATGCTATGAGTGAGGCAGCAAACACATCGGTGGGCCGCGTCCCTAAAACAAACAAGACGCATAGAAATGGCTTCAGCGGGGAAATTGAAAAGCTAGCAGCAGAGAAACGCAAACTGCGTCTCGACATTACGGTGTGCAGAGATGGAACGAAGGTAAAAGAAATGAAGACGCGACGCAACAGGCTGGCACACCAAATTCGCCGGGAATGCCTCAAGTTAGCATCGACTCGACTGGACGAACGTGTAGCTGAAATAGACCAAATGAAAGACGACGCGAAAATGTTCAAAGCAACACGACTACTGCGCCGACAGCAGCAGTCACCAGTTGTGGTTGAAGACTCTGATGGCAAACTCATTGCACAACCTAGTGAATCAGTCGAAGCATTAAGGCAACACTTCCGTGCTATATTCTGTGATCCTGCTCTGGAGTCATCTAGGCTCTTACGGACAGAGGAAGACCTTAAAAACCCTATAAAGCAGCCAGAGGTACATGCCGCAGCTAAGCACTTGAATAATGGCCGAGCTTCGGGACCAGATGGGATACCTGCTGAGCTTATCAAATATGGAACACCAGCACTGTTCTCGAACATTGCCACTACATTCAACAATTATGCCAAAGACAAATCACTCAAGCTAGGCGATGGGCTACTGATCCCGATACCAAAGCCGGGAAAGAAAAGAGGTCCTCCTGGAAATGTAAGACTAGCTACCCTGTTGAACACCCTACGTAAACTTCTTTCATTGGTCATCCTGACGCGGGTCCAGCCAGCTATCAATGGGTACTTGTCACTGAACCAGAGCGGGTTCCAGTCAGGGAGAAGTACTGGAGACGTGGTATATAGCTATCGGTGGTTATCAGCAAGATGCCAGCGTGTTGCGTCGGAGATCTCAATCTTAGGCATTGATATGTCAAAGGCATTTGACACTATATCAAGGGTCAGGCTGATCGATATACTGTCAACAGTCATTGATCATGATGAGCTGCACATCATCCAGTGCCTTCTGACAGACACCACAATAAAAGTAAAGCTGAATAACATTCTCAGCCAACCATTAGTCACACATAATGGAACCCCACAAGGCGATTCTCTATCGCCAGTCCTGCTTACTGTCTACCTCGAGGCTGCATTGAGGTTGATTCGAGAGCGACTCTCACCGCGACCAGCATTGGATATTCAGCTTCAATTGCCCAATGAAACAGCGTATGCGGATGACGTAGACTTCATCAGCACCAGCCTACAATATTTGCATGACAATCAACCCATACTATCATCCTCGTTAGCGGAATACAATTTAAAAATGAATGAAGCCAAAACCGAATATACTACAATTAAAAGAGAAAAGGACAGAGTAGACGAGCGATGGCGGAACACGGTCAAACTAGGATCGATGCTTGGAGTGGAGGAAGATATCAGTCGGAGAAAACGTCTAGCAACATGCGCCTTACATCAGCTGTGGGTGATATGGCTAAGAGGTAACCATGCCCGTGAACCCCTTCGGATTAGGTTATACGGCAGCTTTATTCTCCCAATACTTCTTTATAACTGCGGCACATGGAGCCTGACAGAGACTCAAGAAAAGAAACTTGACTCGTTCCACCGCCAGCAGTTACGAGCAGTCATAGGGGTCAAATATCACCGTATAATACGCAATGAAGCACTGTACAAGCGCACTGGCTCCAAGCCACTCAGCAGAATCATCCAGTCTGCTAGGTGGAGAATGTTTGGCCACATGCTTCGACTAGACACCTCATCCCCGGTCCAGCAGGCTATGTCAGCATACTTTTAGCCAGGAAGCTCAGGGTTCCGAGGCCGCCCGAGAACAACACTCCCGCGATCCATCAACAACGACCTGAAAAATTCCAGATCCACAAACTCCCTCACATCACATGAGGATCTAATTGCACTGAGGCAGCTCGCCCAGGATCGTCGAAAGTGGAAGGAACTAATGTGTGCTGTGAGTAATGGCTGAAGTTATACAATTACACTAGAAACCCTTAACAATAATAACGGATACAATTACACTAGATACCCTTAACAATAATAACGGATACAATTACACTAGATACTCTAGATACTAGATACTCGGTACTCTAGATACTAGATACTCTAACAATTTTATCAAACATTATGATAATTACCACATCAAATGCTGCGGAGACCTATCCAGAATCGGCAATATGCTGGCCCTGGCCTGGAGATCTGCGACTATAATCAGCTTCTACTTTGCAACACTAACGGATTAGTCCCCTTTGTCGATTGATGGATCAATCGGTAGATTCGGCTCTGTTTTTCTTTCCTTTCTTTCTTGTTTTGAATTGTACGTTGAGTTCATTGGATTTCTTTGTATTCTGTATCTCGTTATCGTTATATTTCCCTCTAGCCCTCTCGCTTAGGACGAGCTTTCTTTTTTATGGCAGCTTAACCCTTTGCCGGTCTAACTCAATGTATGTGAGGGGTGGTCACGCAAATACATGTACACACAACCAGCAATAACTCAAGAACCATGTGATGTAGGTATGGGTAAACCATATATTTTCAAAATCTGTGTGCCTGAACGCGTCCAGAAAATTCAAATATGACTAGGTCCAGGCAAGGATAGGGCCCATGGTAGCCCTTCAAGTTGAGAGAAAATACAATTGCGAATGAAATAATCGAATATCACAGCACGAAGGGCATACCAAGTTCGTGATGGAGCTGAAGTCGTACGATAAACAATCAGGTAAGGGCTACGTCTTTACAAGAAACGTAGGCTCTCTACAATACCGCCATTGAACACCAACACCTCGCCATGGGCGGTACGCCAGCAGCAGCAACTCCCATTGCACGATATCGCAGTTTCGGTTTGTTCATCTCAGCGCTGCTCGCGTCAGATTCACTCTCGCTCAGATGAGTACTCAGGCGCGAGCTTACGCATGCCGTGATTCTCACGGCCAGGCGAATCAGCTGATCGCACCTGACGAGTCCTTGTGACAGTCGCTGTCGCCGTGTCGGCAGCAAGAAGGCTTCCTCTCTGTTTGGAGAATTTTGTTTCTTCATTCGTGGACGATATATTTTTTGAACTAGCAGGACTCAACGGAGCTCTTTTTCTCAACACACTACACTGCAAAACCTCCCATGACATCCAGCCTCGACTGGTGATGTTACTGCTCTCAGAGCGCTTGTCAAACACGGCCCCAAGAGATGCACTCGCATTCTTGAAATGCGCGCATGGCGGATGATCGTCTTTTCCAATTTCAACAAACTTCAGTCGATCGATACGGCAAAAATTTGTATGGTAAGCATGGTTGTTTTGCACATCGTCAGAAAGCCTTGGACCTCAGCTACGCGTAGAGCGCCATTTTAGCTGTCTCCTAGCAACAAGACCCCAAAAAAATGAGGGCCAAACGTACCGATACTATAGTATCGGTACGCTTATGGTAGACCGGTAAAGGGTTAAGCGAAGGCTATATACCTGCTTTGTGCAGGTTGATGCCAACGCGAACAAGCAAAATAATAATAATACGTTTTTCTCATCTTGTTGATCTGTTTTAAGATCTCAAAGCATCAATGCTATAAGCTGTTTAGGTGCTATGTGTAGCTCTAAATTTCTCAAAATGGCGATCATCCTAGCGACATACGTGAAGCATCTTATCACAACCCGGATATGAAATTGCACATTTTCTGCGGCGTTCATTGCTTGCTGCGCCACATTATAACCACCTTTTCCGTTTCCCTTGGGCGGGATTGATCACGCAGCGTTGAGTCGTTGACACCAGCATACTGTGCAGGGCCTGCTCTAGACATTCAACACAGCCCGGTCAGAGTGAACCTGGCGCATGCAGGCCAGCCGGGTCAGATCATCCAGCACAAAAACAACCAAAAAGCCTGCTCAAAACGCAGGAAAACAGAAGGGCGAATTTATTGCCGGAAATCGGACATTTTAGAGAACAAGGCGAACTATCAAAATCCGCAAACGTAGAAGGTACCGGTAAACGACATTATGTGAAGAATGCAAAGCAGTTCCATTGGATTCTGATTTAACAAATTGAAAAAAGGAATTCTGTTAGTGCCAGTAGCAGGACGAACATGTTCACATAATGGATCACTGGGAGGTGCCTGCAGCACCTTGTGGAGTGGCTGCTTGCTGCTACCGCATCATCTGCATGGCCAAGCCGACAGGCATCTGCTGCACCATCTGCTGAAAGGCTTCAGCAGACAGGAGAACTGGTAGAGTTGCAACTTCTGCTGCTGCTGCTCCAGCTGCTGCTGGCGCTGCTGCTGTTGCTGCTGCTGCTTCTGGCGCTGCTGCTGGCGCTGCTGCTGCTTGTGCCCCTGTTGCTGCTGCCGCTGCTGCTGCTCTGGGTGTGCGGGTCAGGTCCCTTCGTTCAGACGAGGTTGACGTTGCAGTCGTAGTGCGCCGAGTCACCTCAGAATGCCATGCAGCCATAGCATTGTCGTAGTTGAAGTCAGCGACGGCAGGAGCGTCGAGCTTGATTGCCATGATCATCTCCAGATTCCTCGTCGACAGCGAGTTCCGCATCGCCGTCTTCACAAGCTTCAGCCAGGGTCCACCTTTCTTCCAAGAGTCTTGGAAAGCGTGAGTTATTTATCTCTCCAGTGCGGTCTCCATCGTCCAAATCACCAGTCGGCTGAAAACTTGCAACTGTGTCAAAAGCTATAGCCAAAGTAACTTAGTTGCGCTTTTGACTGACTGCCCCATCTATTTTGAATGTCCTGACTTCCTGCTCGCCGCTGGCCAGATCGCGCTCGAACAATTTGACCCCAGTTGACCCTAGCCGAGTTTCCGTCACTTGTACACTATATAGTGTAGTGCGTGCGGTTGCACTAGATTTCCAACAGATGGGGTCCGCGAGTCGTAAAATACCGGTATGTTAGGAATCCATTGTCAGTTGGAGACATTTTTCAGCCTTACGTTAATAAAATCCAAAATGATAAATTATGCTTATCGATTTTTTCGCTGCATAACTCGTTCTCATGTGGTTCTTCTCTTTTTTACATTTATTACTGGCTCAGTATCCGAGTATAAATTTTGCACACCTGATGAGCCGTTACTAACAACTCGGCGAAACGTACGTCCTGTGGAACTACTTGTTATTGTAGTCAACTCGTCCACAATAGTGTCATCCATGAGGAGTACCGTTAGATATTGTCGTCCAGTTTTGTACAATTCGTTTTCGCAAAGCTTCCCCTTTCTTTTATCTTCGATATTGCTGACCCACCCAAGTTGGGTGGTGTGTTGCTTTGCTGCTTCGAATTGTAGTCAGACCACATTGTCATGTTATTAACTGGTCTCGTCTCGGAACATTCCAACCATACAGGAAACCGAATAGTACACCCCTGTACGTCGTTGTGCGGTCCTGTCACCCACCGCAGGTGCTGAGACAAATACCCATTGGCGTCAACAAGAGGCTGCAACGTATCTCATGCAATGAGGAAGTGTTCAACGATGCTAAAACGTTGTACGAGGACGCACTGGCCTCAAGTGGCCACCCGCAAACCATGACATACAAGGATGAACCGAGCAACAAGAAGAAAAAAGCGAAGAAAGGGCGCAGCCGCGACGTCATCTGGTTTAACCCGCCGTACAGTACCACGGTCAAAACCAACGTTGGCGCAAAGTTTCTGTACCTCGTCAAGAAACACTTCCCTGAAGGGTCGGCGCTACACAAGGTGTTTAACAAGAACACAACAAAAGTAAGCTACAGCTGTATGAAGAACGTAGCGTCGATTATCAAAGGGCACAATGCTGCAAAACTTCACTCGCGACCGCCAGTTGTGCCATGCAATTGTCGGGTCAAGGCGTCGTGCCCCCTCAACGGTGACTGCCAGTCTTCCGACGTCGTGTACGAGGCGCATGTAGCATCCAACGAAGTCAAGACCTACGTCGGCATGACAGCTACCACATTCAAGCAACGCTACAGCAAACACACTTCGGACTTCCGCCATGAAAAGTACGCCGCATCGACTAAGTTGTCCAAGCACATCTGGGATCTGAAAAACGAGAACCGCGGATTCGACATCAGATGGGAGATCAAGGATAGAGCACCTTCGTATAGTAACATCAGCAAGAAGTGTGGCCTATGCTTAACCGAAAAGTTCCACATCCTGAAAGCTTCAAAAGCTACCTCCCTAAGCAAGAGAAGTGAGCTGGTATCTAAATGCCCTCACCAGCGCAAGTTTCTGCTGGCCACCCTATAACATAGACAACTATGACCGCTGCGGGTTTTTTGACGCGTGATTGCAGGAGTTTGTGTGCGCTTAGATTTGTCATACGAACGCAGATGCCTGTGTATACGTGAGGACATGTGTCTATAGGTGTGTGTATATGCGTGTGTGCGTGTGTTTGTGCGTGTACGAGTTAGGGTGTGTTGGGTGGATGGGTGTCCTGTGTGTGCGTGCGCCCGTGTGCAAGTTAGGGTGTTGTGGGTGTGTGTATGTGTGTGTGTTAGTGTGTGCGTGTATGTGTGTATGTGTGTGGGTGTTACTATGTGTGTGCGTGTTAGTATGTGTGTGTGTGTGTGTGTGTGTGTGTGAGCGAGATTAAGCGCGTACTTGTTAGTGCTAGACCTCCTCCTACTGCATCTGCCTCTGAAATAGCCCGTCCCTGTATATATGTAGGACTCAGTGAGCAGTCACGTCTCGATGACCGATCACGATCCCCGTGACCAATCAAACAGTCACAAATCCCTGAAGAGCAGTCATAAAGTCACACACCAGTTTGAATCCCGGTGACCAGTCACAAACAGCCGCGACTTTCTCTGTGAACGGTCACAGGGTCCACGTCAAAATATTACGACTCAACTGTAGGCATTCACGCGATCAGCATACTTTTTTCCTTCACAGGTTTCAGAAGTGAGCAAGAAAGATTTCGATCAACTCTCGATCTCCGCGTAGTTTACTTGTAGCTCGAGTCTGGTGTGTGTGGGCTCTTCAACGAAGAGTAGTCGAAAACCTTGCAGGCTTCAGATAGAATCTCTTTTGAGAGGACGTTCTGGCTAGTAGATTGTGCTGTTCATCATATTTGAAGAACAAACTTCGTCGTTCAGAAAAGCTATTTCGGAATATTTTCAGTCAAGTAATATTTTGCATGCCGATCTTGCTAGAACGGAGACTGATTTCAACTGATCCAGCATACAAGCAACACCCGCTTTGTGTTTTTGGAGATGATGGGTGACAAGATTACAGAGTCAGAAGTGGACATCGTCGACGATACAGAGACGAAAATATAATGAAGATGGAAAAGAAAATATGTTCATCTCCAAGAAGGTACTGAGTACATCAAGCACCTTCGTGTGTGTAGCTCTGTCTTTCTTGTGGAAGACTCCACAGGAAAACATGTCCAGCTTGTTGAAACTGAAACTGCCTCTCAGTTGAAGCCGTTCAGGGAAGACATCTATTCAAGACATCATTGATCCATTCTCAAGAACCATCGTAAGAAATTAAATCAAGTCATGTTAGCGATAAGAATGGCGAACTAGACCACAGAAGTGTGAGTGTCTATTTTTGACTGCAGGAAACTGTATTTCAATATTGTGGCTCAACGTAGTGCTTACGCAGTTTACTGCTTCAAACACATCTTCATTCCTGCTCCCAAAATAACTCTTACCTTAATTAATTTTGTCCATTACGTATTTTCCTTCTACTTATAAAAGGGGAAACATACCCTAAAATCAAATTTTCACCAATTGTAGTCTTCTGGGTGCTGAGTCAAATGGTCTTGGTCCGAGGAAGCTGCGACGCTCCCTTCCTTCTTTTTTCCCAATCGAACCCGCGCACTTCCACCGAAACTGGGTGACTGCGCCCTACTAGATGGGGATTTGTATGCAAAATGTCACTAAAAGTGCTATGTCGTTCTTATAAAAACACGGATGACCGCGATTGGCCCATATGTTGTAGTCTTTTGGACGCTGAGTCGACTGGTTTTAGTCCGAAAAGGCTGCGATGCAGCGTTCCTCCTTTATTCCCAATCGAACATGGTTGAACAAGCGGTCACGTGCTCCTGGGTGCCCAAATCACCTGGTCACCGCGCCAGCAGGCGACAACTTTCACATCAAGGTTCAACTCGAGTTCAACTCGAGTAACAGGACTGCACCCAGAAAAGGTCAAACAGGCTAGTAAGTTGTACCCTGCAGGTACGGTGACCAGGTGACTGGTGTACGCAGGAGCACGTGACCGCTTGTTCAACCATGTTCGATTGGGAATAAAGGAGGAACGCTGCATCGAAGCCTTTTCGGACCAAAACCAGTCGACTCAGCGTCCAAAAGACTACAACATATGGGCCAATCGCGGTCATCCGTGCTTTTATAAGAACGAAATGGCGCTTTTAGTGACATATTGCATACAAATCCCCATCTAGTAGGGCGCAGTCACCCTGTTTCGGTGGAAGTGCGCGAGTTTGATTGGGATTCCAGTAGGAAGGGAGCGTCTCAGCTTCCTCGGACCAAGACCATTCGACTCAGCACCCCGAAGACTACAACTAGTGAAAATTTGATTTTAGGGTATACTTCCCCTTTAACTTTATAGAAATATTCACTCACTACAACTTCTTGTGATTGCTGGTGCGAATGTACCCTGCGATGCCTGCTTGTTAGTGAGAGTGCACCAGACATGTATCGATATGTATGTCTGACGAGATGTTCTTGAACTGGCATATCAGTATCACCAAGGGTACGGTTCTTCCGTCTACGCATCTCTTCTTGGCTTGTGGATTGTTTGAAAAGAGATAAAATAATGATACAGAAATACTTGTGTCCAAGTGTCGTCATGAAAACAAGCTCTACCTCTGTAACTTTGTCCACAGGGTCACGTGAATCTAGCTGGTAGTCCCGCTGCCAATTTGTGTGTGTGTTTGTGTGAGTGTGTGTGTGTGAGTAAGTGTGCGCGTGCATGTGTGAGCTTGTGTGCATGCGTGAGAAAGAGAGTGCGTGTGTGTGTGAGAGAGAGAGAGCATGTGTGTGTGTGTGTGTGCGTGTGTGAGAGAGATAGATTTAGAGAATGAGCATGTGTGTGTGTGGGGGGGGGGGGTGCGCGCGTGTGTGGATGTGTGTGTGCGTGTATGTGAGAAAAGGAACAGTGTGGGTGTGAACATGTGTGGATTTGGCATTTAAGTCCCCAGCTCTATTCTATATCATTTACGCTGAAACTGCTGCTGCATAGCCCCAAGTCTGAAGACTTGGCAACTTCACGCCTAGACCTGACTCTTGCGCTATGATACACGTCGCCTATGATACCCTTCAGAATTTCCCACCTTACTCCCCCTTATGTTCAGGATGCCCGTTTTGGAGCCATCAGTTGCCTGACGATTGTAGTATAGGTGAAACTCAGAGTTGTGACAAAGCTTCCAATCTCTCTTGTAATACAGAAATACCTATATTTTGCCTGTGACTACTCACAGAGAAAGAGTGGTCGCAACTGTACATTCCGCATATAACTGTTCGCTTGGAATTATAGTGGTCACAACTGTATTCTGTGACCGCTCAAAGGGAATTATAGTTTCCGCAACAAATCCTGCAGTACGAAGCACTCCGCGAGCAGTCACGAACTGTGTGCTTTACACATGTACATGTATGGTGATTTGTGACTGGTCATGGGGCATTGTGACTGGTAACCTAATTTGTGACTGGTCATGGGGAGTTTGTGACTGTTTCACTGGTCACGGGGACCGTGGTTGGGGCCTTGACTGGTCACTGAGTCCTACATATATTCACGCGATTACTCCTCTCGCTATCGTATTATCACACCTCTCTCCACTTAGATATACCAGCGCTGCCTCCTATTCCATTATCGGTGTCTGATGATTGGTTCAGCCATGAAACTCTGAGCCACAACGGAATTAATTCGCAAAGGTTTTCATTGTGTGCCTTTGTGTCAATAGCGAATAGAAGTTCTCTGCCTCTGCGGGGTTTGACGTAGAACTCAGCAGAGTCGGCGCATAGCAGCATATCACTGTGATGGACCTGCTGTCACGGCGCGAGCAGAGCTTGATTCTGATTGACACGACTCGTTCTGAGTGGTTGTGATACGAGGCAACATTGTTTACAATTCTCTTATTTACCAGAATTCCGACACCAAACCGAAACGACGTCCCGCCTGCGCCATACAGAGTATGGCCGTTGTCTAGAACGTCGACTCCATCACCATTCAGCCATGTCTCCGTAAGACCCAGCACGTCGAGACGATACCGTTCAAAATCCTGGATAATATTGTATGTATGTATGTATGTATATTTTTATTTGAATTCGCAAGTACACACGGGCTACAAGCCCAATTACATGGAAGCGAATGCCATAATGAGGCCAATTAAGAAAAAAAGGTGGAGGAAGGAGGAGGACGGTAGCAAAGCAACAGGGAGGACAATTCAGGACCAAAATCAACAATTGCACAAATGTGAGAGCACCTGAGACCGAGGGTACCTGTGGAGCGATAAAATGCCAAGCAAACAGAAGAAAGGAAATCGCAAGCCAATACACGCTAAACTGCACTTGAGTTAGAATGAAGGGGAAAACCGGAGCTCAACAAAATTATAACGTACAAAGTCATAATAAAAAGTCAACTGGATGAGAAGTAGCACAAGCAAACATTTCCTGACAACGAGAGGGGCTGTAACTACAGCCACAGCAGTAGCTGCTGTAGCAGCAGCAGCAGCAGCAGCAGCAGCAGCAGCAGCAGCAGCAACAACAACAACAACAGCAACAGCAACAGCAACAACAACAACAACAACAACAACAACAACAACAACAACAACAACAACAACAACAACAACAACAACAACAACAACAACAACAACAACAACAACAACAACAACAACAACAACAACAACAACAACAACAACAGCAACAGCAGCAGCAGCAGCAGCAGCGCCGTGCAGACTACTCCAAGGGGAGTATGGGACTGTGAACACAGAAGGCGGGAGAATTCACGGAGCTTGCAGATCTAGCCCGCCAGCGTGAAGGGCAGTGCAGCTACGGCGAATTCACTGGGACGATTGAGTGGGCGAACTTCGCTGGGGAGGGTGTTCCAGAGGATGGCACCACAGTGCGATGGACGGGATGTCCCTGCTGCTGACCAGGCTAGCGGCAGGCGCAAACCCTGTCCTTGCTGGAGGCGGGTGGTGTTTCCATGAGCACTTCGAAACTTGTCCTGGAGGGCTGGGCTGGCTCGATTGTGCTGGCAACGCCACACAAACCTCAGCATCTTCTGCTTGTGCAGCTCCTGAATGCTGTAGAGCTGCAAGCTGGTCAGGAGGGGTTGAACATGAGAGCGGGGTGGCTGGCCAAACACTGCCCTGGCAGCTCGGTTCGGGAGAACTTGCAAGCGAGAGACTTGCTCCTGTCGCAGGCAGGCGAAAAATGCTGTCGACCCGTACAGCAGATCAGGCATGATGATGGACTTCATGAACTGTGTACGGGCCTTCAGACTTAATGCTCGCCTAGATCGCCAGAGCGCCCCGATCTTCTGCGATACTTTCTTGGCGATGCTGTCCACGTGTTTCTGCCAGTTGAGGGAGCTGTCCAGCAGAACTCCGAGGTACTTCGCAGTGCTTGCTGCTGGCAAACTAGTCCCATTGCAATTTACAGGAATGGCTTCACTGTGCATGCTCAGGACTTGGCTCTTCGTGGAGTTCAGGATGAGGTTGCGATCCTCTAGCCTGTCAGCCACTGCAGACACTGCCCGGGTAAGCGCCGCGGAGCATTCAGTAGGCAGCCGGTGGCTGAAGTACAAGCCAATATCATTATTATTATTATTATTTTTTTTATTATTTATTCACAATCACGTGGCACTAGCCAATGAAATGGTGATGTGGGCGATAGCCAGCCATGGCGGTAATACAGCTAGAGGGGGGAAAGAAAAAGAATGAAAGGGGAACTGAAAAGCAAAAGAAGCTAGGGCAGGGCTGGATATCAACTAGTATGTTGCATTCTGCAGTAGCTGTGTGAATGTATTGTAACATTGGCAGGATTTTAGATGTTGTGGGAGGAGAGACCAATGGCGGTAAGCAAGGAAGAGAGGAGATGTTTGCATAGAGGCAGACCGCGCAATAGGGAAGCGGAGAGAGTTTCTGGTGCGCATGTCTTGAGATTGAGCAAACCAGCTTAGGCAGGAGAGAGCATGAAGAGGAGCAATGCCCAGCTTAATTTTATGAATTGTCTGGCATGCCAAAAAACGCACGCGGACCGAGAGCGGCACAGCAGAAGCAAGGCGGTATAAGTCTGCGCTTGGAGTCAGGCGAGGAAGCCGAAATAATATTTTCAAAAGACGCCTATGCATAACTTCGAGTCGAGCAATCAGTGTTTTAGAAATGCCAGCCCAAATAATGCAGCAGTAATCAAAAATAGGCAGAATGTAAGATGTGTAGATAACATGGCGACAGTCGGTGTGCAGGTGGGTGATGTGTGATGAGAGAAACCCCATTACTGAGCTAACACGGCTGTCTAAATTTTCGATCTGGGATTTCCAGGTTAAGTGTTGGTCAATAATGACGCCAAGATGCTTGTGTTTTTCAACGATGCAGAGCGGGGTTGTGGTGCCTGGAAAGGTGAAGGGACTGGTTACTAATGAAGATAGGTCACAGGAACAACTGGGGGGGATACACATTACAGCAGTTTTCGAAGAGTTGGGTTGCAATTTCCATTTTTCCATCCAATGAATAACGCCATCTATGTTGGACTGTAACTTGGCACTAGCCTCGGGGAGAGTGGGTGCTGTCACAAGTAGTGCTGTATCATCAGCATATAGTGATGTGTGATCCATTTCTGCCAGATCGTTTACATACATAAGGAAGAGGAGAGGCCCCAGGATTGATCCCTGAGGAACTCCAGACCGTACATGCCCTTTGGCAGACAGAGCAGAGCCGACACGCACCCTTTGCTGTCTGCCCGTCAGGTAAGTACTGAGCCACGTGAAGCAAGTACCATGGATTCCATGGCGCGACAGCTTGTATAGGAGCCCGCGTGTCCATACGGTGTCGAAGGCCTTGCTTAGATCAAAGAAACATAGCATGCTGTAATGGCCGTTCTCACGAACAGAAGACATCGATTGAACAAGTCTGAGAAGCTGCCAGGACGTAGAGTCGCCTTTTCGGAATCCAGACTGGGACGGATGTAGAACAGGAGACAGGTAAGTGTATAAGTGGTTGTACATAATACGTTCACACAGCTTGGAGATTGTTGACAATAATCATCCGCAAACTGTACTGTGGGCACGTCACCAGCAACCTCTGGTATGCCGCGCGTGTATACACTGAACAAGATTGGTCCTAAAACGGATCCCTGTGGAACACCGCATGTGCATGCATTACAGGGTCCGTCCTGGGTTCCAATGCGCACTTGCTGGGTTCGATGGCTGAGATAGTTGGCAAACCAACTTAATGCCGTTCCAGAAACGCCAATGTCGAACAAGTCCTGCAGCAGCGTAGGGTGACTGACTTTGTCAAACGCCTTTGACATGTCAAGTAGGCAGATGCAGCAAGGCAATGCAGAGTCCTTTGCAATGAGAACACCATCTGTTAGTAGCACAAGTGCATCTTCAGTGGAGTGATCCTTCCTGAAGGCAACTTGGGTCGGTGGTAGAACATTGTGTTCATCGAGAAATGCCACAAGCTGCCGCTGCACGAGCTTCTCTAGCAGCTTTGAGGCAATCGGCAGCAGGGATACTGGACGATAGTTCCCAGGGGATGTTGGGTCTCCAAACTTGTACAGAGGCCCGACAAGGGCCTTCTTGAAGGCAGAAGGTACAATGCCCGTTTCGTGAAGATCCGTGTGAGGGATGGCGTGAGGATATCACTGCAGGATTTGAGAAGCAGCCCAGGTATTCCATCACTGCCAGTTGCCTTCACCGGAATTATCGCTTGCAGAAGCTTATTCACAGCAGCATAAGATGCTGGTCCCAGACAGCTGAGTGAGTGTTCAGCTGGGGGTCCATTCGGTAATGGCAAGTGGGCTGGCCGATCAGGGTCAGTTACAATGTTGCTAAATGCCACGCTGACCTTGTTCACATCACATGCAGGGTCTTGCTTGCTTCCTCCTCTGCCAGTGATGGAGTTTAACAGGGACCACATCTTCCTTGGATTGCGATTGTTGACAACACATTCATCACTGAAGTACTGGTTTTTCCTCCGTCTGACAAGGTTTGCTGCCGCCGTTCGAGCACGTTTGTACTGGTGGAATAATGCTATGTTAGCCCGGTCTCGCAGCCATCTTCGGTGCAGCCTGTTCTTTGCCATCATTAGCTGGTAAGTGTCTCTGTTAAGCCATGGCCTTCTTCTGGAACGCTTCTTAACTGGGGTCATCGGGGCATGATGGTCCAGTACACGCATTATGCTAGCGTGCCAAGTGGACCACATATCGTCGACGCTCGCATATGGAGGAAAAATGTGAAGGTCTGCTGCAAGCAGGTCAGCGCGGAGAGCTGCTATATCCACTCTGTGCAGCTGCCTAGTGAGGAGGGAACTCGCTGGCTGGCTTACTTCAGTAGCACAGCTGAGTGAAGCACTCACAGCAAAGTGATCGCTGATGTCACATGGTACGATGTTCCAGGATGTTAAGCTGGCATGGTTGACCAAGACTAGATCTAGTATGGTTCCACGCACACATTGGGGCAGAACACGAGTTGGTGCTGTCACGACGTTCTGCAGTCCATAGCTTCCACACGTGTCATGCATGTGGCGCAATTGTGGGCCAGGAGAAACTGGGTCAGCATTTACATTGAAGTCGCCCATCATAGTGACCGATCCGGTGTTGTTGGTGGCTGCCTGTAAGACAGTCTCTAGTCTGGGCCAGAACGCAACTGTTTCACTTGGCGGCCGGTACACACACCCTAAGAGATGAGGCGCCCGGGCACCTTTAAGCTCGATCCAGGTGCACTCTACATCATCCGCCGTCAAATCCGGGCGAGGCTTCACGGGGAGGGTCGACCTGAAGTAGATACATGTTCCACCTCCTCTTCCACCGGCACGGTCCTGACGGGAAATACTGAAGTTTGGGATCCGGATTTCTCCATCAGACACTGTGCCATCAAGCCATGTTTCAGCAACACCGACTATGTCCCAGCACTGGTTCACGATCAGCTGCTCCAGGGCGTCGACTTTGTGCCGAAGTCTACAAATGTTGATAAAGCCAAAGCGTACCCAGGAATTTGCTGGGGCGCCTTGATGGGATCGTGGTGTAAATGGTATGGCATTAGGGTTGAGATGTCTAGTGAAAAGACCCGGAATAGATGGGGCGGCATTAGGATTAGGTTCGAGTCCTGTTGGAGAATTAGGGTCCCGCAGTGTTGCCATCATTCTTTATCACTGGTCGGATCTGTGGTGGAATGTTTCCCATTGCTGCTGCCAATATTGTCTTGTGATGCTGCATTCTGATGTTGGTCACGGTCTTTAAACTGCCATGGTCTGGCGTACAGAGGTCTTGGCCAGAAGTTTGGGGATACAACAAGCAAGAGGGCACTTGCTTCAACCATTAGTCGTGCTGACACCTTTCCATTTTCTGCTCTGTGCATGCTGCAGTCATGCACAGTGGTTTCTGCTCCAGCCTTGGCTGACCTATGTATTGACTTTTTTTATTTGACTTCGGAGCGAGGGAACATTGTACGTTCCGGATCTACACGAAGGTGCTGTTTGATCCCGGCTCACAAAAACCGAAGCAGCTTTCCCTAATCTGTCTAACTGTATTCTCATTTCCAGTCTCTTCTACTCGCGGAACAAGAAAACCCTCGCCGAAGCGAGAGCTGTTGGGGTTCAGACCGCCAGCCACAGGAATAAGTCCGGTATAAAACATATATTGAGCGAAGTTTACTAAACCCTGCGCATTATAGCAATTATGCAATCACACAAATTCTGGTGGTGTGCGTTGCGCATGGACAGCAATGTGATCGAGAAAAACAGTGAAAATGTTGGACAAGACAATCTGTTTGCTCATACGTGTACATATAAAAGAGAAAAGAAGAATAAGGCCCCCAAAGAATGTGTTTATAAAATTCTTCTCTCTTGATATCAACCACCGCTTCTAAGGTGTATTCAAGCCAATCTGATAACGTTATGCTAACGCTTTGTTGTACCGTATGTATTAGGGATTTCATATCCTAAAAACATCAGCTCGGTATTACAACTTTTGAATCACACAATGAGCACCTCATACTCTCCAAGCAAAATCCAACCAGTGAAAACTTCATTGCCTTTAAGCGCAAGCGTAACGAAGTAAAATGTTTGTCACGTACCCTCCATCGTCAGTATGTACAGTCGGTTCATGCCACCCTGTCTTCCCATGATCGCCCTAGTCTCCATCAATTTCTCCGCCATCTCCGTAAGAACTGTAGTCGGGAGCCGATCCGATCAATGACAGCTTCAGACGGCACGGTAGCAACAGACCCCGCAGACAAAGCAGACATATTGAACACGCAGTTTACGTCGTTTGGACTTCCTGACGACCCTACGTGGCCTATACCACCACTCACCCCTTCACCCTCAATACCTGCGTCCCTCCTATCATTGTCGACTGGTACAGCCCAAGTGAGGAAATATCTCCGTAATCTGAAAACTGGCAAGTCCCCTGGTCAAGACAGAATTACCAACGAAGTTTGGAGAGCTCTTGCTCCGTCTGTTGCCTATCCTGTGTCAATTATCTTGAATATGTCATTTCGTGAAGGGAAATTCCCAGCCATGTGGAAAACTGCGGTAGTCGTGGCCACCTACAAAAATAGAGGACCACGCACCACCCCCAGCAACTATCGCCCTATCTCATTGCTCTATACTTTATCAAAAGTGTGCGAACGTGTTGTATATGACATCATTTATGATCATGTTCCCATTTCACTTTCGCCAGCACAGTCGGGCTTTTGTCGGGGTGACTCCACCAGGTACCAGGTTACCCGCCTCGTGCAAGACATCCACACCGCCCGGAACGCCCATAACCATGTTGGTTTAGTTTTCTTCGATCTCGCAAAGGCCTTCGACACTGTTTGGCACAGGGGTCTCTTAGCTAAGCTGCGAACAGTATATCGCATTGATGGCAAGGCTATCGGCTGGCTCTCATCGTATGTCTCTAACCGACATCAGCTTGTACGCCTCTCAACTGTGTTATCGGAGCCTTTACCCGTTACTTCTGGAGTCCCCCAGGGTTCAATCCTTGGGCCACTGCTATTTCTCCTGTATATTAATGACCTCCCCGATATTGCCCCTGGTGTCAGCCTTTTCGCTGACGACACAGCTCTGCTTTGCTGCAATGCTTGCCTTATACGCCTGCATGAAGCCAGGCAAGATAGCATTGGGAAAGTTATAACCTGGATGCATGATTGGAAGTTGCAGCCAAACGTTGATAAAACGGCAGCTATGTACATTTCCCCTTCTCCCCCTTCCCTGCCACTTTGTTTTCCTTCTTCAAGTGTTGCTATTCGTATTGTTGAAGAGCATAAGCATCTTGGCGTTATTATTGACTCTAAATTGACGTGGTCACCCCATGTGCAAGCGCAAAAGCTCCATCCTTGGGGCTCTTCAAGCCCACTGTAGACATCTTCCTCTTTCTTGCAAACGCTTGTTTTATCGTTGCTATATATTGCCCTTACTTGACTACTGTGATACTGCTTGGTCTGGCATAACTACTACTGTATTGAACAAGCTAGAAACCCATAACCGCATGCTCCTTAAAATCTTATTTAGCAAAGATCGTCGCTTTCCCTCCGCTAGTCTTTACGAAATTGCCAAGATCAGTCCCCTTTCCACTCGACATAAGTACCACCTCTGTGTTCTCATACATAAAATATTACTAAATAAAATACCCTTGCATATGCAGGCTTATAATTGGTTCTCCGAAACACGGAATACCCGGAACTCACTCAGTCTCCCACGCGCTGCCTCCACCCTATTCACAAGATCCCCGATCTTTGCGTGCTATGTGTTTTGGGCAACATAACCAACGCAGGCCAAGACCAGCACGTCGATGGATAATTTTGTTGATAAAATCTCTGCTCAATTATAGGTTTCATGTATATCCTGCTGGTTTGTCTCCTCCTTTGCCTTCTTTGCCTCTTATTTGTATTCTTTTATCTGTTTTACTGCTGTGGTTGGCTTTCACCCTTGTCTCAGTTTTATTGGCCGACATCATGATGTGCCATGAGATAATGATATAAATACAAATACAAAAACAATGGACAACGGGAACTGGCAGGGTGGGAACGACATTTATTAGGGAAGATGACTCTCTACTCAGACAAAGACGAACGGAACGATTACATTGTGAAAGCGAGAGACAAGAGAGAGAGAGAGAGAGAGAGAGAGAGAGAGAGAGAGAGAGAGAGAGAGAGAGAGAGAGAGAGATCAACTGAGGGAAGCAAGACAAAGAGCCTGGGTAGCTATGGCAAAATAAATATGTGCGCGCAAGTAGCTACCCAGGCCAACGGAACAAAAGGTGACAAAAAGATACAAAAGGTGAGTACGACGTAGATGGTGTACATGCAGGCCAGCTTGTAGGTTGTAGAACGCATGGGAGGAGGTACTTAACACAACAAAGTCCACACATGGAGTTATCACAATACAGCTTGGACAATAATGATGATCATTGCAACTCCTGAGAAGCACTGACACGTAATGTGTACATTGTTTATGAAGGTGTCCATGTGCGTCGCCACCTAGTGTATTCATGATTGGCGTTGGAAGTACTCATGATCCACCGATTCAATGAATAAAACAATTGAATAATTATGTTGGACTCCTGTAAGATGATGAACGCACGTTAAAACAGTTCACCCGTTTTCTCCAGAACATTGCACTTTTCTACATTACTTCATCATTTAGTATCACCTGATCAATTGTGACAAACTTGTAACCGTGCGGGCTGAGTCGCACGTGTACAAGTAATTGGATTCTGCCAAGAAAATGATACCGGCCGTTAGGAGGTGTTATGATGAGGTCTGAGGCAATCACTGTCAAGCCTCCAAGCGGTAGGTTTGTAGAAGTTGCTTGACCGAATATTGTGAACGCATACAGGTCTCGGAAACCTACTAGTAACCTCATGACGCCATATGCTCCAAGTCTATCCAAATCGAGTCCAGCGTGTCTGCAGACCAAAAAAATCGTAGCGTTCTCGCGAAAGAAAGGCAATCCCCAGAACAACGGGTAAGGACCGTGTCCGGGAACAGGGTGAAACTCCGTATCGTATATATAAGGCAGAACTGTCAGCTGCGACAGTACTCCAAGGAACATATCCAGGAAGCTCCTGCCTTCAGAATGGCTAAGTGTCGCTGGAGGTCCGATCATTTTGGTCAGGGAAACTCCAGTCCTCGTCAGGAAAAGAAAATGAGGTTGGTCTAGCACTAGACGTTAGAGAACGACGACACAAACACTATTTCACTATACCAGTTTTTCTTATCTTGGTGATCTGTTTTAAGATCTCAAAGCATCAATGCTATTAGCTGTTCAGGTGCTATGTGTAGCTCCAAAGTTCTCAAAATGGCGATCATCCTAGCGACATACGTGAAGCATCTTATCACAACCCGGATATGAAATTGCACATTTTCTGCGGCGTTCATTGCTTGCTGCGCCACATTATAACCACCTTTTCCGTTTCCCTTGGGCGGGATTGATCACGCAGCGTTGAGTCGTTGACACCAGCATACTGTGGCGAAACATCATGCATCAAACGCATGCATCGTAACGTTAGTTCTAATTGTTGGTGTGTGCCCTTCACACATCGCTCACTCCCAAACTACATACCGAGTTCTAGATTCACGAGCAGTCTCGAACGAAGTCAGTGTCGCCTGCCGATCTGGCTAGGGACAAATTCCAGTTCAAATTCTAACGCTATCCATCATCAAAAGCACAGTTGTGATTCATTGCACATAATTGTCGTTGTACTCACCTGTTTCTGGCTTCTGCTAAGAATGCTTCCCATATAGCACAGTATGCACCCTCACGTAAATAAAATCCAAAATGATATGCTTAATCGGTTTTTTGTTAGATCTGGATAAGAAGAACTCCCGATAAGACAAAAAAATTTGTTCAGTGCTTTGAAATTAGTTCTAACGAGATTTGACTATACATGCAATGCGCTGAGAAGTACACGTAACATCGCTTTGAACCCAATTATAGCGAAGAGAGCACTACTAGTATCTTTTATAATTCATTTTAATGATTTCAACCGACGCATTCTAGTTTTATCTAGCAAGGGTGAACCACAAAGTTATGATTTAAAACATTCTGGAAATTTCACCTCGTTTGTATACTGTTGAAGACTGTGTGTTGGGGCAAAGCTAGCTGTCCCATCGCCTCTCAGGACACTCTGATCTTGG